AAAGTAAGGAAAGTATTGCAAATTTTGTTTCACCTCTGTTAACCAACATAGCTAAGTGAAGAAAGAGTGACTACTCACTTAAGCATAGAGTGTGTTGATTATTAAAGTGCAAGTTATTCTGGTTATACTGAAATTTGTTTTCTATTAAATAAGTCACTAAGAAATGTGAGTCAAAAAGGGAATTTTTAAAAAAAGGATTTGCTTCACTAAATAAAATATTTCTTCTTTAAGAGAAACTTCTGTCATACCTATATTCTGTGCAGCTCTACTGAAATGAACAGAATTGAAAAATCTGTTATCAACCAGATATCAACCAGAACCCTTTTTTTTTTTTTTTTTTTTTTTTTTACAACAGAGACTAAGTTCAATGAAAAGAAACACAGAAAAATACCAAGAGTATTTTACCAAAATTTTAAAAGATTTTCAAAATATAAAAAACTATACAAAGGCTCTACTTTCTTCAGCTTGGAAAAGAAAAAAACTGAAATATCACTGATAATGTATCTTTTACTTAATACTAGCATTTAACTGGGTAGACAATGCATTCAAGCAGTTGGCCTAATCCTAACCCTCAAAATATGTTGTTGTTCCACAAGCAGTCCATGCTCACTACATATCAATTGCTTAAAACTATTTTTAAAATTGTTATTTCTAGTTTTATGTTTTTATTCTAGAATCCCATGAGTTCTTTCTACAGCCACACTAATTTTAAAGACATTTATGTGGTTCAGAGTGCATTAGGTTCTTACAAAGTTTTTTTTAAGCTAAAGAAATGTGTAGCCCCTTTTCAATAGCATATTCCTTCTGTATGCCCCATGCCTTTGAAGACTTACATCCCATGATAATTACAGCTGGAACCATCACAGGCTTATCTAACCAAAAATCTGTTTAATTTGGAACTATGGATTATTTCCTTAACTACAAAACTCAATCTAATTTAAAGCTCATTAGAATTTTGACACAGCTCTCAAAAACAAGTATTTGAAGAAATTGTACTGTATGACTTTTATTGACTGTATTATCATCTGTAGGACATAGTTTCCCAGTAGAAGAACAAAAGTGAAGCTTTTGATTTGACACATTAGGTAGTAGCCTTTTGAATTTTCAGCTCTGAAATGGCCGGCTGAACCCTTCATTTCATGCAAAGTCAAGACCACAGTAACCAACTTTAAAGCAGAGCAATCATTTTCTGTCTGTAATTCAACAGAGTACTGTTTTACTAGTGACGTTCTTAGGAAACTTTATCATAAAAAATGACATTTACAAAGCACATTATTTCCAGATGACTTTGAAGATAGATTTTATCCCAGCAGCAAATAGAAACCAACAGACATTTTTTTGCATGGGTCCAGAAGAGAAAGTTGCAATAAATGATAGTATACTAATGAAGATATGTACCAAAACAACCTGTGATTTTGAAACAAGCCACTGCCAAATACATCTGCAGTGCTAGAGATAAAAATAAAGTCTCCTTACAAGGTCCAAAACTTTGAGAAATCTGGGCATGCTCTATTTGCCAGAGGCTGTGAATGCTCAGACACAGATTCTGTAGTAGATACCAAAATGGAACAAAGATTTAAAGTGGTCTTGAAAACAGCAGGATCTGAAAAATCTTAATATGAATTAAAACTGCTGAGATCTAACATCAAAATTCACCAACTATGGCTCTCCTTGGCTCAGTTTCCTCCTCTGCTGGAGCTTTTCTACTGCTTTTTAGGATGACGTCCTAACCAATGACCAGAGGCTGGGGGAGACAGCACCCAGAAACAATCTCCTGTTGAAGGAGATTCTATCTAGACACTGGATCTACCAAAACATGAGGGCTTATGGAGGCAAGAAATTAAAAAAATTAAAGCTCTCCCTTTCTGCAGCAAAGGGTTATAAACACTTAGCTAGTGGAAACTGTTGCCAGTAAACACAAGAGCTGTTTCTGTACTTATTGTACTGAATAAAAAGTGACAGCTCAGGAAAGGGTAACTAGGTGACAGACACACAGATTTGCACTTCTCTGGATTAACAGAGCTGTATTTTTTAAATACAAATTGGAAGCATTTAAATTAGAAGGATTTGGTGTTCTTTCTCCCTAGCAGCAATAGTTCCCAAAGTTTCTGGATGGATCCCTTCTTTGCTGTTCTAATTTTCGTTTCCTTTGCACTTTACATATAAATAAAGCCATTACTTTTTTGGCTTAACCCCAAAGATCCACACCTCTAGCTTCCTGTTCTTCTTTGTGTGCCCTAAAAAGCACAACCTCACCCTTCCAAACCAGTTCCATGCACACCTGTCTGGAACAGTCCCCAAATCCTTGCATTAGTAGTGTCTTATTGTGTTTATGCCGGTCCTTAAACAAAACAACACAAGAGAATCAGCTCACATCCCCTGTGGCCTGACTTTGTTTGGGTGAGTTCTATCATAAAAATATATTACAGCTGTGCTCCCATGCATCCCAGCAGCCACAGCACGTCCCACTACAGCCCAGTTTACCTCACCACTGAGAACTGTTTCATCAGTGGATCCCAATAAGCTTAGGTTTGATGCATTGTAGTTCAATGAGCACTTTACACCAGCAAAATATGCAGCCTTGAGATTTTAGATATTTAAGCAATTGCAGAAATAATTCCTCTTCCTATGATGACATCTTTATATATGGATCACAGATATAGGGTTTAAAACTTGTGTGGATTATGAACGTTTCTTTTTCTTTTTTTCTTATTCTTTATTATTTCTTATTCAAAATCAGTATAATTCTCACTTTCTACTTGATTCTCCTCATAAATGTACATAAAATTATACACTATGCTGGGACCAATGTCTAGGCTGGCAACTACCTTGCTTTTCACATCCAAACCTCAGAGTTGGAATTGCACTGGAAATGGAAAACATCAATGTTTTCTGCTAAGCCACTGAGGTAACACTTGCCATTATAGTTGATTTATACAGGCTATAAAAATAATTTTATACATAAACAGAAGGTAAATTTTATTTCTTATATTTTTATAGCTGCTTTGTAGCCTTTTTCAATAGGTATGGCTACATACCCCACAATAGCTGTCACTCTTTGATACATTATATATGAATTCTAGCTTGTGTCCATACATTTTATGTATGTATGATCTGAGTCTTTGCAGCAGCAGCACCCGCAAATAACCAAGTGACCTCTACCACTCCTTCTTTCCCTTCTCAAATACTGATAATCCCAGAAAACTAAGTAAATAAAAAGCACAGATCACAAACTTATCCTCTCAAAAGAACTACAGACATTGTAAGATAGCTATTTCTTATTTGAGCTATTGATGACAATGACTTTATTTCTCAGGTGAGGTGCAGTTCACAGACCAAAAACACTAAATCATAGAATCATAGAATGTCTTGGGTTGGAAGATCATCTTATTGAAGATCACCTTAAAGATTATCTAATTCCAACCCCCTGCCATGGGCAGGGACAACTCCCACTAGACCAACATGGGCCCAAAGCCCCATCCAGCTGGCCTTGAACACTTCCAGGGATGGGGCATCCACAGCTTCACTATATTTTGAGTCCATGATTTGGATGTCAGAAAAGATTAAGAAAAAAGAAACAGTGAAATTGATCAGTGAAATCAAATACTATATATATATATATCTTCAAATACTATATATATATAAATTTGAAGAAATTGAGTTTCCGTTGGTCTAGGGAAAAAAAAATGCAATACTACAGTTGTCCCTCTATATCTAAAAATGTTGCAAGTGCAATGGAAAAAAAAAAATGTTCCTCATAGACACTGAAAGAAAGACAAGAGAAGATAAATACAATTTTCTGAAATAAAAAAAAATAAAAAAGTCATCATTCAAGCTTGCTTTTTGTCAGTTAACCTTATAAAAGTCTGCTATAATCTACAAAGTGTGCTCAGAGACCCTTCTTGATAGAGACTTTTAAGAACACACAGCTGTTTAAGTAGCTTAATTAAAAAGTAGCTTATATTATCCTGTATCATGGACAGCTGATTAGCATGACATGTAGTCTATCAAAAGAAGGATTAAAAAGGAAATTTTGAAATATTAAATACACATTATAGAATCACTTATCTACTACTTTTAATGAACAGTTGTCTTGAAGTTCGACTGGAATAAACCAAATGATTATAAAGGTACATTTAAGACCTGTTTTTGTTTGAGAAAAATACCAGTGTGTCTTAAATCCAGCAAGAGATGCAATGTAGACAGTTTGTTCTCTATGTTTGAATCGTGCTCAAACATTATGTATTTTAGGGAATCTACGGTACGATATTATTTAATTATACAATTTAATAAGTTTACACTTTAATTAAGTTTAAGTTTTAAGTTTACACTTTAATTTGAGCCATACATGGCTATTTAAGTTCAAACCCACAGCTATAAGTTGTGGCCTGTTCTTTACTTTTACCTTACTTGTGTCTGAGTGGACTCATGTTGATAAAGAGTCCATGTTCACAGTTGCTGCTGTGTGGAGACATGAAAAAAAAAATTCATACCTGCAGGATCTGTGGAACACAAAGTCTCAGGCAGAGTGAACAAAGCATTTATTTCTTCTGTCTTCTGACACTTTTTTTTTTATTTTGATCTTCACTCAACCTGCCATGAAGAATTCCCTCTAACTGAAGCCAATACTGTGACTCTGATCCCTTCTGTTTTATCTCCATCACTGTACACTTTACTTCCCAGGACACTGTACTGACACACTCCACACTGTACTTCTGACATATACTCCACAATCCTAAGACCTCTCAAGTCTGCTTTGCATCAGCATCACTGATCTTTAGAAAGGAGTACCAGCACCATCTCTCCTAGCAATGCAGGGAACCACTGCCTCGCAGCATTCATGGCACCAAGTTGCCCCAGGTCAACCAATGAATGGCAACCCGCAATACACCCAAGCAAAAGGCTAAAGTGTTGGAGTAAGCATATTTAATTTATACACCATAATTTTCTTATACATAACATGTATTTTTGTCTTATGTAAAACAGATATGTAGACTTACATGTCATTTTTTCCTTGTAAATCTGAACCCACATGCTCCACTTCTGTATAATTATTAAGATTTGGACATTATAATGGACTATTGCTAGAACCATCTTCTGCTCTGCCTTTTTTCTTTTGTTCTTTCTTAGCAGATTGTATTTTATCCATCCTCTGATTTTTAAAACAGAATGAATAATTTAATATGGCTCCCACCCTGAATGAAGTAAAAATCTACAAAACTGCAATTTGCTTTGAAACACAAAGTAGTCAAGCTCATCAATATAGATTTCTGAATCAAAATGCTGTTTGTTAATTCATTTGAATAAAATACACATTGCTAGTTACTGATTTTAATAAATTTTCTACTTTTTCTTAATACTCTACATTATCAAACAATAAAAACCTGTTTGCTTTCACCAAAATATATTCCTGCTGCTGTCAGATACACTTTAATGTGTGGATCTGTATTTATGGAGGGACTTTTGAGTATTTACACAAATAAATTTAAAAATGCTAGATGCGTGCATTCGCTTAACTGGTCCCCTGAACTGGGACCATGTAAATGTTATTTACATCTTCTTTCCAATCCAATTAAACTTAATAAAATAGTATAAAAACTCAATTTATATCTTAACAATTTTAAGCTTTGGTAAAAATTCCATTTCTCTTCTATATGAAGCAGTAAGATGTAATTAGATTTAGAATAAAAAATACTTTTCATTTGACTCATAGGTCAATGACACATTAAAATATAGTAACTCTCCTTATCTGATTTGCTGAAAAGACTATGGAATAAATTAGACCTTACAAGACTACTTGCATTTGCCAACATCTCTCTTATTTTGGATTAAAAATAAATATATAATTTCATTTAATATAATTGGAGCAATAATGAATGGAATATTCTATGGTTCCAGTCCAACTTCTATGATAATTAAACAAAACTATTAGCTCAGACGATCTTCAAAATGTTGCTGAATCTTCAAAATGTTGCTGAAAAATGTTGCTGAAAAGGAAAAAGGAATAATTGTCCATGTCCTTGGTATATACCAGAAATATATACTATTTCCAGTAGAGAGGATTATGAAGTAATGGAATAAACTGACTACAGAGATTTTCATGTCTTCAATATTTGCAATTCTTAAGATTACTAAAATCACTAATTAGTGATTCATGTCAAAACAAATATCATCATAGTTTTTTCTCTTCACTCATGGACTAGAATTTGTAATCTCATATCACATATTTATAATATTTATAATAATATTTATAATATTTATAACAACTTTAATTGAAACACACCTCAACACATCTGTATGTGAAAGTTAAAGCAGGAGGAGAAAATCAATTTCACATGAGCTGCACCAACAGCTGAACATGCTTCAGAAAAGGGTAAGAACATACAATCTTACAATATTCAAATCTAATGCAAAACTCTAAATCCTATTTTCTGTAGAGTAAGAGAAAAATACATATACACGCTTTTTCTCTTTTGTCAGCTACAGACAAATCATAAAATAATCAAGATTTATTTTTTTATTATTTTTTTTTCTTAACAGTGGGCAAAAAGTCTGAGAAAAAAAAAAAAAACACTCCCTGTAAAACACATTAAAAAAAAAAAAATAGATGGCATTTGTAGCCTGTACTAGTTGCATATATTTTGATAAGCATATTTTAGTGGCCAAAGCTTGCTTCCATTTAAGCCAATCTCTACTCTCTAAGAGTCCAGTGTAAGCAGAATTAAATACTCAGTCTCTTTTATCTTGTGATGTGATGACTTCACTTACAAGACTGAAAGACCACACAAGGAAGAGAAAAAATGATACAATTAATGATTTATCCATGGTTTGACTGCAAGGAAGTTATAACAAGTAACACTACCTCAGTTTAACTACCACATAAGTAAAGGTTTTTGAGGAACATTAAGCAGAAGTCATATTCTTTATGTATTCTTTAGGCAATATATATAGATAGATAGATAAATATCAAAAGAAAAGGATTTGCAATGTTTTTAGAAAGTACCTCCAATGTCAGTCTTACTGTATTTGCAGTATTGCATGCCATTAATATTTATATTCAACATGCAGTCTACACAACAAATGCTGTGGCACCAGCATTTTGAAGTCCAAGTTCAATATTATAAGCCACATAACATACACACAATTTAATACATACCATAATACAGAACCTATTCCCTTTAACGTTATTTCTCTGACCTTTTCCTCTAAAAATGTAAGCGGGTCTTCTGGATGCAAAGCAATTACACCACAAAGCAGAAAACAAAGCAGAACCAGCAAAAAGAAACTGCAAATTAATATATTTGTGTTAACAGTAAAGTATCTGAATATGAAAATATTAAAATAAATCCAAGATTACCAGCTTCTTTTAAAATATTGTAAAATAGAGGCATTTATTCTTATCACTAACCTTTAATTTCATTTATATTTTAAATTGAATATTGCATGCATCATCATATTTCAGTTGCTAGACTTCAAAGCACAAAGTTCAGGAGAGTAATAAAATATGGGGTATTTCTGTAACTACTCCTACTAATAATTTCATTTTAAATGTGCATAAAAAAAGAATATTTGTGAAATTGGATACTTTTATTTTTTAATACAAGGAAAAATACACACACATACAGAGAATTTAAAGCAAGATTAACTCTGTGCAGCTAAGAATATGTTGAATTGGGAAGCATGACCAGAAATCAATTTTGTAACAAATATTGAAAACAAAACAAGGTTTATATTAAGATTTCCTTTTCAAGATTGTTACCACACTACTTTGCATTACATTTTGGGAATAATGCACAATAACTGATTAACTATTTTTCTCACTTGCATTTAGCTGTCTTCAGCTAAAGGATGTAGTTCATTTATTTTGGGGTTGTGAGCTCACATACAGGAAGAACTGCTAAATTATATTGATTTTTAAAAGCATATGGGCGAAGTCTGGTTATTTAAATGAATATTTAATGGAAATGATAAATTAGAAGGTTGTTTTCCAGGTAAAAATTTCAGAACATGACTGTGTATTTTTAATGAAACACCAACCTACATTAATGCAAAAGATTTTATCCTGGGACACGTTGTTATGCTTATATTTCCCTCTGTTGGTTACCAAGAAACTAGCTTTTAATAGTTATCACAAAGCCAAAACCTGAGTTTTTAGATTTTCTTCCAGCCCTAACACTTAGAAAACTACTTTTCTTTGTCTCAACCCACTTTTCACTACTGTCATTCTCCATGGTTCAGCTGGATGGTACTAAATCTCCATGTCCAAATTTTACCATTCAGTCTGGTCTAGTCTCTGTAATCTCATCACCAAAATTCTGACTATGCAATCTCACTATCCAGTTACAGCTAATTTTCCCAAACCATTTATTTTTACATATGCACTCTGGGAGAAGAAATACTTCATTTTCCAACATCCATACTGATTCTGACATTCTATTACTTAATACAACTGATCTATATAAGTATAAAACTAAATATTAAAAACAGGAAATATCCAGAGCAATTGCTACATATTTGATGGATAAAGTCAGTGCAGGAATGTAACGACTTACTGTACAAATTCAAATGATTTCTGACTTTGCAGAGCAGTTTGGGGTAAGAGATCACTGAGAGTTGGAACATGGATGCACAGTAACAGACCTTTTTGGCCATGAGTATGTGTTGTATTTTTACATGCCTACAAGTTAAGGTTACTAATAAAAAGGCAAAGCAAAATATGCACAGACACAATGAAAGGCAACTATCTTCAATTTACACACCTTGAATATTTAATAATACAAATTAACACACTAATTACATCCTATTAACATCTATTCAGGGCTCTTAATAAAAGTTTAATTTTCAAGGTATATCTCAGTGGTGGATTATATTAAAAAATATTATTAATCTAACACATGGTTGTAATTCATGACAAATAATACCATTTTAAATAATATGCAGGCAGCTATACAGCATTCTTCGCAAGTTCTCCTGTGGATAGATTTTCCAAAGCCAATCCTAAGGTTGTTCAGCTACTCCCTCTCCTGGATCAAGCCAGGATCTGTCTGCCATATGAATCCCAATTTTTATTATTATGAGCTTTACTTATTTTCTTTTCTTTATAACTTTTCGAAAGAACACAAGCAATTATATATATATATATATACATGTGTGTGTGTATATATATATATACATATATTTTACATTGGAAGTTGTGAAAGATCTAACACACAGAAAATCCAAAATATCCAACAATACACTGTACTGCAAGGCCTCTGTTTAACTTATTTGAGAATTTGTTTATAAAACCTAGGTAAGGAAAGGAATTGTAGCACCTTGTCTTGCAATTCTCATTCAGGTAGTCTTCAGTAATAATTGAGCCAGATGTGAAATTAAAAATAAAAATATTCCAAATCTGCACGTCTGGCTATTTCAATTAGACTTCTACACTCTTTCCAGCAACTGCTAACTATTCACAACCTAGAAAATTTACTTATCCATAAGACTGAAAAAATAAAACAAAAGAATATTCATGCATCAAATGTTAGTTACTTATCAATAAAATCCCCAGCTCATCAACTACATAGTAATCATAGGGCAAGAGCAAGTGTCAGATTCTGCACCTGGGAAGGGGCAACCCTGGCCATATGTACAGGCTGGGGGACAAGCGGTGGGAGATCAGCCCCACAGAAAGGGATCTGGGGGTTTTAGTCAACTGCAAGCTGAACATGAGCCAGCAGCGTGCCCTGGCAGCCAAGAAGGGCAACCATGCACTGAGGTGTATCAAGCACAGCACTGCTAGCTGGTCAAGGGAAGGGATTGTCCCGCTTTGCTCTTCCCTGGTGTGGCTTCACCTCGAGTACTGTGTGCAGTTTGGGGCACCACAGTACACAAAGGATGTGAAACTATTGGAGACTGTCCAGAGAAGGGCTGCAAAGATGGTGAAGGGTCTAGAGGACAAGATATACGAGGAGCAGCTGAGGTCCCTTGGTTTGCTCAGCCCAGAGCAGAGCAGGCTGAGGGGAGGCCTCATGGCGGCCTGCAGCTCCCTCACGAGGGGAGCGGAGGGGCAGGCGCTGAGCTCTGCTCTCTGGGGACAGCGACAGGACCCAAGGGAACGGCATGGAGCTGGGACAGGGGAGGGTCAGGCTGGGGGTTAGGGAAAGGTTCTGCACCCAGAGGGTGGTCGAGCACTGGGACAGGCTCCCCAGGGCAGTGGGCACAGCACCGAGCCTGATGGAGTTCAAGGAGCATTTGGACAACACTCAGACGCAAGGTCCAATTTTTGGGTGGTCCTCTGTGGAGCCAGGAGTTAGACTCGATGATCCTGGTGGGCCCCTTCCAACTCAGGATATTCCGTGATTCTATGAATTCTTCTTAAAGAAATCAAAAAAACTGCTGCAGTACACTTATCAGTAGCTATCTTTCTATGAAGAGCTATCTTTCTTTGTCAGCAATGTGACAAAGGTCACCTGTTGTTTAAAAGTTCACAAAGAAAAAGTTAAAATTGTGTAGCATTCAATTTAATGCTACACAGCTTAGTAATGGAAGAATCATTCTAAACCCCCTTTCGGCATGCTTTTAGAGCTGTTAAAAATAAATTCATACCTACATATGTAAATATATTCCTACTTCTTATTCATGTGTGAAATAGAAAGTTATTAAGAGTCAGCAGCTGAACAAAAATACCTGATATCCAAGAAGCTTTACAAACTCTTTAGCTGTGACACTTTTTTGCCATTGAAATGACCTCAGTACAGAGAACAATAGCTTTGTTAACAGACATTGCAACAGTAACTTCCATTTATTTTCAACACAAAAAATAATATGACAGGATGGCATGGGTGATGACTGTCAGCTGTGCCTTAGAAAACACTCTCTAAGATGACAAAGGAACATCTACATGTATGTCTTGTCTGTAATGTTTTCCAAAGCAAAAGAACTTTTCAGTTTCAAGATCTGTGTTCTATGCCTAAGGAAAAACAAACAAACAAACAAACAAAAAAAAAAAACAAAGAAACAAACAACAACAACAAAAACAAATAATCTAAATGCAACAGATTCATTTTTACCAACAGTTCTTAAACGGTCATATATTTTCTTTGTTTTCTCTTACTTCTAGTCCAGGACAAAATCAACACAACTTCTTCATAGTAGTTTATTAGAGATACAGCAAGTTTTAATCTTTATGATTCTCCAAAATCCCATAAGCTATCAAGAATCAGTAGATGCCAGTGTGGTTTAACTGGCAGCTCCTGTTGTTTTCTTGCAAACCTTCATAATCTGCAGTGCTTTTCCAAAAACACCTGTTAAAATGAAGAGGCTGTATCCTTTCAAATTTTGAAAAATGAACTACTGAAGTTCCACAACAAACTTTTTGTGTGCGTGTGTGTGAAGATTGGTTAAAAGCCCTTGACCTTTGTTGCTTTTGGTGTGTTGTGACTACCACAACTCCTGCTCACCAGTAATGACCTTACAGTGTCTGTGTGTTTTTAATGTCCATTTGCATTTCTTACATCCATTTGTTGACTCACCAACTGCTTAGAAGGCACTTGGGCAGAGAACATCTTTTGCTATATGTACAGCACCAAGCACAACATAATATCCCGTCATTACCAAGGTTTCTAAGCCTTACAATGATGTTGACTAACATACTAAGTAGTAGTGTGTGAGCTCAATGTAAAAATAAATAATATATATATACATAAATTTTGTTATTTTGGTTTGTTGGTACAAATGTGTTAGGTCCTGTCCTCATACTCGCAGTGCTGATGACATGCTGTTCATCACATATTCAAATTACTCTACTGTTTACATTTTAGATCTACCATGACACCTTACTTAAATGTCAGCGCAGGATTATAATTACTTCACGTCTACCTGCAATAGGAGAATACATTGTAACCAGATGCACTTTAGCAAAGACAGTAAAAGCTTGCATCCCTGGGATGAGTTCCAGCAAGCCTACAGTGGATTACCACTGATAACTACCAAAAAAAAATGATGCAAAAATGTAACAAAACAGTTGTCAGCTCTATCTCTTTGGGAGACTCAGGAAGTCTGGTCTTCTGCTTCTGCTATTCCTGAAAGCAGAAGACAAGAAAAGAGGAGAGTGTGTGAAACACAGTGAGGCCAGGACTGGCTGTGACCTTCAGTTTTCCACTAATCCTGACTAGAAAGCCTGATTACTGTCAAAGGCTTTTCTATTCCAGTCATAATCCTTGAACTTCCCATTCTTCTTCCTAATAGCTTAGCAATTTATCCTTCATTGCAAAATTAAACCAGGTCATATGGCAGAAAAATATTGAGCGAGTTCTGCATGCAAATTTAATTTTAACATTGCATGAACACAGCTACTCATAGCAGTGAAAGTCATCATCATATATATACTATTTGCAGGATTATAGTTTACCTAACTTTTTATGGCTATATTTTAAAAGTAAATCTGGATGGGATCTGAAAGAGAGAGATCACACAGGAATGAAAGAATCAGACGCAGCAGGGAATCTCAAATTATTTGGACACAATTATTTGGACTCCAGCTGTGTCTGGACCATGTTCAAACCACAACCTAATCCTAAAATGACTTACGCAAATGTCTGTTTTAGAACTCCATATCCTTCTTAATTTTGAGAATATTTACATAAATGTTCATGGATCTCAGTTTAGCTTTGATGTTCCTTAATATAGGAAGCAGTATCATTTAATTTATCTTTGTACCGAGCATACTGTAACCTCATAAAGAAATTAAAATATAATAAAATGACAAATTAAAAATATGACTGGGCATCAGTGAGCACCAATATTTAAGAAAAAAAAAAAAAAAAAAAAAAGATGAAAAGACCTGACAGAGGCTAATTTTACTAACTGGCTCTTTCCCTTAAGAAATTCCCTTTAATCTGAACCTGAGTTCTGTCATTTTTAGTTTATTAATGCCACTACTGCTATAAAGGTATTTATAACTTTTGCTTGGAAATGTAAAATACAGCTATTTTTGAAGTGCTGAATCAAGAAATACGCCATATGCATGATACATCTTATGTTCTTCTGAGCTTAAAACAAAATAAAATAAATAAATAAATAAAGAATGATCAAGAGAAGGATTCTCTTGAGAGGTACTCAGTCTGCTTGGTGTGCTGCTCCATAATTATTCTAATTGGCTCAGGATTTTTTATTAGTGTTTCCATGGAAATCCTGGCTGTAATAGCTGCTTCCAAGTGGGGTCTATTTTTGGTACCTGAAGTATCAGGATGACTCTTAAACTGTTTTTTTTTTTTTGTATTGTCGTTGTTTAAGGAAGCTGCAAAAGGGCTGCTGCAGATTTTGAACTAGACAGAGGTGAAATTGGCATAGGTAAAAAGGGAAGAAACCAAAGAAATACAGAGAATAGGGAAGGATGCTGAAGCTGGAAATACAAACTGTTTCCTCTGTAGCTCTTCGTGTTGTGACATGGTTTTACACCCTAATGTTTCATGGAAATGTATTTCCTCCTGTGTCAATACCACCAACACCCAAAACGTGGCACAATACCATTTTTGACAGGCCATAAAAAACGCAAACAACGCGCAGCGCTCAGCAAGAAGGAAAGCACGCAGGCGCTGAGCACTTTCCTCCTGAAATCTAAAAGCATTTCCATAACCAAACCCCAAAAAATTAATCAAATCTCGGAGGGTGCCCAAGCAGCTCGGTGCTCCCTTCCCTCCGAGCTGAGGGGGAAGCTCAGGGTCCCGCTTTCCCCGGGGCCCGGCTCGGCCGCGGAGCTGAGGCAATGCCGCCGCCATTACTCGAGGCAGGCCCCGAGGTGCTGAGGGGCGCCATGGCCGCGGGCCCTGCGAGGCTGGGGGCGCCATGGCCGGGGCTCCCCCGGTCGGTGTCTGAAGTAAAAAGAATAAAAGGAGTAAAAGGAGCGCCGGCAGGGTGAGGGGGCGGCCAGCAGCACCCCCGGGGCGCATATTTTCAAACGCGTTTATTTCTAATGCGTTGGGTGTATTTTGTTAAGACTTTATTAGGTTTGTTTTTAGTGGTCTCTGTAAATAGACGCATAGTTAAGAATAAAAATAACAGTAATAAAAAAGTGCGTTCTCCTTTTTCTCCCAAGTCTCTCGCAAAGGCTCTTCGCGGCTGCTGGGCGCCGCTAAAGCCGAAGCTGCGCAGAGGTACGGCAATGCCCGGCTCCCATCAGCTCCCTTCACCTTCTCCATCTCCCTCAGCTCCCTCCACCTCCCTCAGCCCCCTCGGCTCCCCCCCGCCTGCGGGGCGGTGCCGGATGGGGCGGCTGCTTCCGCGGCCGGGGCGATGGGGGAGCGGCGGGGGGCGGCGGTGAGGGCGGCGGCGGCCGGGCTGGTGCTGGGGGCCGCCGCCTGCTACTGCCTGTGGCGGCGGGCGGCGGGAGGGGGCCGCCGGCGGGGGCCGCCCTCAGGTGAGGCGGGGAGGGGATGGCGGCAGCGCCGGGGGCTCGGCTGGGAGAGGCCCCGAGCCGCGGGGAGAAGCCGCCGTGTGTGGCGGGGTGTGGGCTTGTTATTTAAAAAAAAAAGCACAACAGCCCTCAAATATATGCATTTTTAATTCCCCTAAAGCTTATATATCCAATCGGCGTATCAACTTAACAGGTTTCTACGCAGTTGTGGTGTTGGAGCTGTGTGCCCCCATAACTCAAAGCCAAGCAAAAGCGGGCCTGAAGGAACGTGCAATGTGAAAATGCAGATAAGAACCAATTTAGTTGGTTTCCCTAGCTAGCTGTTGGGTTATCGTAATTTGCTTTGGTTTTATTTATTTATTTATTTTAAATCAAGGAATGTGATGGTGTTTGCCTGAGGAAGTGCTGGCAGCAAATATGAGAACCTGCGAAGGATTTCTTAGCTTCCAAAAGTCATTTCCAGCCATCCGTGACTAGTCCGATAGTCACAGATCGGGTCTTCAAGCAGTTCAGCTACCTAAATAGTTCTGCCTCCAACCTGGCTAATAATGGTCCTTGCTGTCATTAGTGTCACAGTTTTATGAAAGCCAGGTACTTCACAGCATCATTCAGATGGAGAAGTGGCCTTCCTTAGCCAAGCGACTGCACTCCATGAACAGCAGCATTCTTAACATTTTGGCTGTTACTTCATCAAAGAACCTCAGCTTACTGGCAAAATATCATTAGCGTAATTTCTGGAAATAGTAGTCCTCAAATCCGAAGTTTTATTCTCTTTTCCCACAGTGTTCAGACAGATCTCCGTGTTTCATTTCAGGGAACATTAGAAAAAAATTAGCATGTTTGGTGAATAATCCTTATAATTTTGAATGGGAGGTTTGCTAGTTGGTTAACCAAAGAGTAATGTACACCAAGCTCTGTTTACATATTCCTTTTATTCTTTTTATCATTTCTACTTTGAAAAGAAGTAGCCATGGGATTCAGGAAAAAGGATGGGAGTTCCTGCTGTGGTAAAACAGAATCTTTTTGCTATGATATGGTGGTTGGGTACAATCAAACTCAGAACAATATGTACTATAACTAAGAGCTAAGGCTCAGCTTGGTAAAAAAAAGCATTCAGTGGTTACTGTGAAATGTCTGAAACTTGGTATTAAGTATTTCATTTAATTTTTAAACAGTGACAGACAAAAGTCCTCCAGAGTCACCCCATACCATGGATGCGGATGCTCTACAGAAACTTATTCATTTGCTCCAGGCCACAGATGATCCATTAATTCAAGAGCAAGCTTTAATCACTCTCAGCAACAGTGCCGCCTTCTCTGTAAATCAAGTAAGTATTGTCTTAGTAGGAAACAATGGTGTTTCAATTCCAGTCGGTATGGAAAATGAAAGGTGCTGTTTTGCTCAAGAGTGACACAAGACTGAGAGCTAGGTTGTCCTGTGTTCTAAAATCCATTTTATGTCTATGCCTTTATTTCCTGCTAGTACAAAGAATGTAATTTACCAGCCTCAGAAGATTTATCTAAGCTCAATCTTTGTACAAATTACATTTATACAACTTTGTCTGTACGGCGTTCCATGTTTTCAAAGTACTGTAAATATCTTTATATCTTCTGTTACTTACAGTTGTGTAATGTTAATTAAAGGGTTGAATTTGAGACAATTTCAGGATCTGATCTGAAATCTACTGAGATTAATTTAATGTAGGTTTTTTATGTTTATAAAGTTGCATGCCATTTGCATCTTAGTAGCTTCCCAACTAAGTCTCTTCAATTCAATCGGGAATATGATGCAGAAGAGCTTTGAGATGGATGCACATTTTCATGTCTTTGTAAAGGCTTAACCTCCAGGGTTGCCCCCACACACACTCCTTTTTTTTTTTTCTTTTTTTATGGAACTTATGACAGCTGTCTATTCTGGCTGCTTAAAACTCTTTTCCTAGTAGAAATATCTCAGAACACCATAACTGAATCAAGACCCATTTCCATTTTCTTGAAAACAGTGAATTGGTCTTTTGGTGATTTAATGACTTCTACATGAGAAAAAAAAAAAAGTGTAAGGGAAAAGAAAGACAAAGTTTTATAATTTCTACTTCTAATAATATAAAGCTTGAAACTCTCTTCTGATTGGACAGAACTTTTACGTTCAGTTGAGACATGTTCATGAATGACCTGTTCATTGTCTCAACTATTCTATAAACTTGATATGCAATAATTAGCTTTGATCGTCTATAATCTGAGATGCTTTAAGCATTCTTTGCACCAAATTTTAGAAGTAAAGGCATTATGCCGTTGCCAAATAACATCAAATAATACTTTGACCCTAAGCAGGACTATTGGTAATTTCAATGGAAGCAATATACTCAAAGGGCAGCTTGGTGATTGCACATCTTTTTAACAAGCTGTACCAAATCCTTCTCCAATTTAGCACAAGCAAAGCATAACAGGTATTTTTCTAACATCTTTAGGAGCTGTCTTATTTTTGCAAGCTCTTCAAAATTCTATTATTTTCTGAGCAGCTTTTCAGAAGGATGTATAGTATTGATGTCTGTGAAATGAAATTACTTTCCAAAATGTTTTTGATACTGTAAGCTGGTAATAGTTTCAAAATAAATGCCATGCATAGTTTGTTTTTGTATGGGATGATAACATAAAGAAATAACAAACTGCTAACACTCTTTTAAAAAAGTAGTCTGTCATGTGGAAGTCATTAACACATTCCATGTAGATTAAACAGAAACTTTGAGTAAAGCCTTCATCATTTAATTTAAACATTGTAGTAATCTTATTATGTGTCTTTTATATTTCAGGATATAATTCGAAATCTGGATGGCCTTTCTGTTATTGGAGGAATGCTCTCGGATTGTGTTCCCAAAGTTACAGAAAAAGCACTAAATGCACTTAATAATTTGAGTATGAATATTAAAAATCAGGAAGAGATACAGGTAAGTTTTTTACAGGGAAAAAATAAGAGTAATTGTGTCATAGAAAATAGTACAGGGCTTTCAACATATTTATTAAATACAGGGAAGGATGCTAAAATCTTTTGAGGTTAGTCATATAAGACATCAGATCTGGATGATCTGTGTATCCTAAGGCCAAATGGATAACTTAAAAATGCATCAGTAACACTGGCAATTACTTCTTTTGAAAAGAAAAAAAAAAAGACACGAAACGTAGACAGCCTGTGTTTAGCTTTCACCGAATGCCACTGAACAGAGATTGTGCTGTTAATTTATAGTGAAATTATGTGAGGCAAGATGATTTCCAAATACGTCTAGAACATCAGTAACAGTTGCTTATTAAGATGGGTAGCAGGCTGAGCCTAGTGTGATGCTTAGGCAAAGGAACTGGAGAAGAAAATGGGAATTGATCCCTTGGGTTTGTCTGCAATACATTTTTCTGTGTGATATTTTAATCTTAAAAGAAGAAGCTGTAATAATGGCAACAAGTCCTGTTGGTAGATACCAAAGATGGTATGGATGGAACAGGACCAGACATAAAAAAAAAAAGCAGCCACTTTTGACATTATCTGATTGAGAAGTGTCCAAGTTTACATGCAGGTTGGAAGACTTTTGGTATTTTTGTCATTAGCTTGATAAAAAGACATCTTGACTGTATGTGGTCATTTGCAGCACCTTTAGTGCTGAGTACCTTTTTTTTTGAAGTGGTGCTTGCCAATTGAAAACATTAATGTAGGCATATAGGTAGAAAACAACTCCTTTGATAAAGTAGAAGTATTTTTTTTTCTTAGTTAGGGTTCCAAGATTCATTGTGTGCTGTCATCCAGAAGAATCTAGGTAAATAATAGTTGCAGGTGTCAGTTGTCATCGTTGTTCTTGAGGAGCACGCCAGTGAATGGGCCACGTGGGTGGAAGAAGGGATGTCATTCCAAGACTTACCATTAGCTTGATCTCAATGTTTAAGAACCTTAGTCGCTTTAAGTCACTTTTGAAACAACTCCTTAAAGCAAATATGCCACTTCTAGAATGGAGTCAAAACAATTTGGGTTTTCAGAGTAATTTATGCTTCAGGGAAGTTATTTAGCATGTCTGTACTGTCTGCTTCTATCAGGCCAACAGAGTATCTGTGTGTATTAAAAACAAACCAAAGCAAAGTCCTTGTTTCCAAGTGCCTTGATCAGATTCTGTATTGTGTTCACTTTAGGCTACTGTTGCTAGACCAATGATACTATTTGTGAATAGAAAATGTGCTTGTATTAAAAAGGAGCCTTCCCTTTTTCCCTAGGTATATATTGAACAAGTTTGTAAGAATGTTGAATCAGCCCCTCTGAATTCTGATCTGCAGCTCGCTGGGCTCAGGTTGTTGACAAATATGTCTGTTACCAGTGACTACCACCATAAGATGATAAACCAGATCCCATGCCTTCTTCGTGTGCTTTCGGAAGGATCTGAAAGAACACAGGTAACGAGTACTATATTGTTACAAACCAGTTATGAAGCTGTTTTACTAGCCTCCTTTCTACTGTTTTTGTTATATGGCTTAGACTGTGCTTAGAAAATCAAATATTCCTTGATGATACATAAAATCTGTAAAATGTGGATCAGTATTACTTTCTCTATGTAGATCCAGGAATAGGGGTGAGAAGGAAGAGCATCTCGATAGTGCATTCACCGGGATAGAGCTGTAGCAAACAAGCGCTGTGTGCACTGTGTTGTTGCTCTATGCCTTTGCTCCAGCAACTCTAGAATTCTTTTCTGCTTCCTAAACATTGCAATTGCATCACAGAGCAAGGAGGATCTATCTACATGTGAAAGACTTCACTGATGCACAAATCTCTGGAGAAACATGCCAAGCTGTGATAACCTAAGATCTCCATTTCCTTTCTTTACGGTTGTTACATCTCTTGCAACTGAGTGGCTGCAATGGGAAATTATTTGTGATTCTGTGCTGATTTGGGAATTATTGCCAGAAGTATTGAAAGAGAAAAGTTTCAAAGGAGGACTTCAAATGTTGAGCTTCTCATCCACCAACACCCCCAGGGCCTTCTCCTCAGAGCTGCTCTCAATCCATTCTCCACCCAGCCTGTGTTTGTGCTTGGGATTGCCCCAGCCCAGCTCCAGGACCTTGCCCTTGGCCTTGTTGAACCTCATGAGGTAGCACAGGCCCACCTCTCAGGCCTGCCCAGTCCCTCTGGGTGGCATCCCTTCCCTCCTGCATGTCGGCCGCACCACACAGCTTGGTGTCATCGGCAGACCTGGTGAGGGTGCACTCGATCCCACTGTCCGTGTTGCTGACAAAGATGTTAAATGGTGCTGGTCCTGATACTGACCCCTGAGGAACTCCTTTTGTCACTGGTCTCCACCTGGACATTGAGCCACTGACTGCAACTGTTTGAGTGCAGCCATCCAGCCAACTCCTTATGCACGGAGCGGTCTGTCCGTCAAATCCATGTCTCTCTAATTTAGAGACAAGGATTTTACACGTAATGATTTTTAGGAACAGTGTTTTAGTCCATCTTGTGAAAAAACACAGATGCATAAGTAAATGAGTAAGTCAGTACTTGTGGCTTGTTGAGAACACATTTCTTTAGGAACAATCCCATCTCTCAGTACAATTGTCCTGGTTTCAGTTAGCACAGAATTAATTTTCTTCCTAGTAGCTGGTGGAATGCTGTGTTTTGGCTTAGGATGAGAAGAGTGCTGATAACACCCCGATGCTTTAATTGTTGCAGAGCAGTGCTTATACTAAGCCAAGGACATCTCAGCCTTTTGCTCTGTCCTGCCAACGGGCAGGCTGGGGGTGCAGTAAGAGCTGGGAGGGGACAGACCCAGGACAGGTGACCCAAACTAGCCAAAGGGGTATTCCATACCATCTGACGTCATGCTAAACAATATATAGGGGTGGCTAGCCGGGGGGAGGGGGCCGGACTGCTCGGGGTTAGGCTGGGCATCGGTCAGCGAGTGGTGAGCAATTGCATTGTGCATCACTTGTTTGTACATACTATTATTACTTTCCTATTATCACCATTGTATTATTATTGTTATTATTTTTATTATTATTTTGTTATTATTATTTTCCTGTCTTATTAAACTGTCTTTATCTCAACTCACGGGCTTCACTTTCCATTTCTCTCCCCCGTCCCAGAGAGGGAGGGGGGAGGGTGAGCGAACGGCTGCGTGGTGTTTAGCTGCCGGCCGGGTTAAACCACGACAGCCTTTTTGGCGCCCAACGTGGGGCCCGAAAGGTTGAGATAACGGCAGATCTGACCAGAGTGTGTTAAACTAAAATTGGTGTAAGGATTAGACCTGCTTAATAGTCACTTGTCATGATGCTGATTGCTTTAATCTCAACTCTGCTGCGCCTGTTTTCCAAATTGAGTATTATAGTACATTATTTTCCGTATTTACTCTCTGTCGTGTTGTTTATCCTCTCCGGGCCCTGGTTTCAGATCATTATGGTGCTGTGTGTTGTAGCAATGGCTTATGAGACGATGAAATATGTGGTCATGACTCTAACTTGTTATTTGTATTCAGTAACATCGTCGACTCTGTACTTTGGAAACTGTATCTTGGAAACTATTAGCAATTATACCTATTGTTTTTTTCCATTAGGGAGTCAAGCTGTGGAGGGGAAAGGGGAGGATATTTTTCCTTACTTGCTTACTCTCCCTTTCTCCTTCACCACCCCTGTATCCTCCTGGGTCACTCTGCCTTCCTCCTTCACCACCCTCTTATCCCCTGAGCTTGTCACAATAGCTCTCCAAGATATTGAATATTTCTGGAATACTCAGAATACCATAGTCTTGTTGTTCTGCCTCATGAATGCACTTCAGGTTCTGCTTAAAGTTAAACAACTACTTGGGAAGCTCTTCTGGAGATCTGCCCGGGGGCAGGATAGTTGTGGGTGGCAGGGAGTATGGGCGGATATGGGCAGGCACCTAGAGCAGTTGGCACCCCCAGTGTGTTGGAAATTCACCCCTGAACAATGGCAAAATCCTCAAAAACTGGCAGAATGCTTGAAAAAAAGGTGTCATGATTCTGGCAGTTCTAAAGTAACACAAATCATTGTAACGTGCTGGGGCCTGGCTCATGCCTATCGAGCTGCCATTGATACTGCTATCAACTTAGTGACAGACCCTGCGGCCACTCCAAGCCCTGTGACAGATCCAACGGCCACTGTGACCCCTACGGTGGACTCGGCAGCCGCTCCAGATCCAGTTCCTGCAGTCGCTCCAGTTTCAGCTCCGGCCGCTACTCCAGTCCCAGTTCCTGCAACTGCTCCAGTCCCAGCTCCTGAAGCTGCTCCAGCTCCAGCTCCTGCAGCCGCTCCAGCTCCAGCTCCTACTGCTGCTCCAGTCCCAGCTCCTGCAACTGCTCCAGCTCCAGTTCCTGTAGCCGCTCCAGCTCCAGCTCCTACTGCTGCTCCAGTCCCAGCTCCTGCAACTGCTCCAGCTCCAGCTCCAGCTCCTGCAGCTGCTCCAGCTCCAGCTCCTACTGCTGCTCCAGTCCCAGCTCCTGCAACTGCTGCAGCTCCAGCTCCAGCTCCTGTAGCCACTACAGCTCCGGTTCCTGCAACTGCTCCAGCTCCTGCAGCCGCTCCAGCTCCTGTGGCCGTGTCAGAGAAACGAGCAGTAGCAGTGCAAGCTGCCCCTGTAGAGAAGGTGAAAATATGGTATAGAAATTCAAGTCGTTTAGAACGCAGAGAGTCTTCTGCCAATCCAGGTAAGGCTTCTGCCAAAACTAAGTATAGAGATGACGAAGATGATGACGACGCTGGGCCATCAAGGATTCAGGAGGAGGAAGATGAGGATGCCGAAAGAGCAACAGTAACTACCCGAAGCCTAAACGAGCGCGAGCTACGAGATGTGCGAAAAGATTTTGGTCGCTGTATAGGTGAGCAGCTTGTCACCTGGCTGCTCCGGTGCTGGGACTCTGGAGCCAATTGTGTGGAATTAGACGGCAGGGAAGCCAGACGGTTGGGATCCCTTGCTCGAGACGCCGGCATTGACAAAGCAATTGCAGATGGAGCACGACCCACCAGCCTCTGGAGGCGTCTCCTCTCAGCTGTGAGGGAAAGGTATCCCTTCAAGGAAGATATTTTATGTCTACCAGGCAAGTGGACCACTATGGAGAAGGGAATCCAGTACCTGAGGGAATTAGCCGTACGGGAAGTGATTTATGAGGATCCAGACCAGACACAAACATCCAAAGATCCAGATGAAGTCAAGTGTACACGACCCATGTGGCGGAAGTTTGTACGGAGTGCACCATCATCATATGCCAGCTCATTGGCAATAATGGCCTGGAAAGAGGATGAGGAACCCACAGTGGATGAAGCGGCTAAACAACTCCGGCAGTACGAAGAAAGTCTCTCCTCTTCCTTACAGGCCTGCGTCTCAGCTGTGGAGAAACTTTCTGAAAAGGTTCACCAACTTGAAGAGAATCTATTGTCCTCCCCACCTGAACCAACCAGTGCCCACCAACCAAAAGAGAACACCTGGGAGAAAACACTTTCTGAAAAGTTTCACCAACTTGAAGAGAGATTATTCTCCTCCGCACCTGTACAAAGCAGTGTCTCAGCTGTCAGGGGTAGGCGTTCACCCACACAAGGAAGACGATATGGTGGGTACTCACCCCGTGCCACCCTGTGGTTTTACTTACGAGACCATGGAGAGGACATGAGAAAATGGGATGGAAAATCTACCGCGACCCTAGAGGCACGGGTACGTGAGTTGCAAAAGAAAACAATCAGGAAAAAAGGATTCTCCGAAAAGTTTGCTGCTCCAACTTCCAGCAGACAATCCTTCAAACACAGAAACGAAGAAGATTCTGACCAGGATTAGGGGGGCCCTGCCTCCAGCCAGGGGGAGGAAAGGGACAATCGAGTTTATTGGACTGTGTGGATTCGATGGCCTGGCACATCACGCGCACAGAAGTATAAGGCTTTAGTAGACACCGGTGCACAATGTACTATAATGCCATCGAGCTATAAAGGACCAGAGCCCATCTATATTTGTGGAGTGACAGGAGGATCTCAGCAGTTGACTGTATTGGAGGCTGAAGTGAGTCTGACTGGGAATGAGTGGGAAAAGCACCGTATTGTGACTGGCCCGGATGCTCCATGTATCCTTGGCATAGACTATCTTAGAAGAGGATATTGCAAGGACCCAAAAGGGTTCCGGTGGGCTTTTGGTATAGCTGCCTTAGAGACAGAGGGCATTAAACAATTATCTACCTTGCCTGGTCTCTCAGAGGACCCCTCTGTTGTGGGGTTGCTGAGGGTCGAAGAACAGCAAGTGCCAATCGCTACCACAACTGTGCACCGGCGGCAATATCGCACTAACCGAGACTCCCTGATTCCCATCCATAAGCTAATTCGTCAATTGGAGAGCCAAGGAGTGATCAGTAAGACCCATTCACCTTTCAATAGTCCCATATGGCCAGTGCGAAAGTCTAATGGCGAGTGGAGACTAACAGTGGACTATCGTGGCCTGAACGAAGTCACGCCACCACTGAGTGCTGCAGTGCCGGACATGCTGGAACTTCAGTATGAACTTGAATCGAGGGCAGCCAAGTGGTACGCCACAATTGATATCGCTAATGCATTTTTCTCCATCCCTCTAGCAGCAGAGTGCAGGCCACAATTTGCCTTCACTTGGAGGGGAGTCCAATATACTTGGAATAGGCTGCCCCAGGGGTGGAAACACAGCCCTACCATTTGCCATGGGCTGATCCAGTCTGCGCTAGAGCAGGGGGAAGCTCCTGAACACCTGCAGTACATCGATGACATTATTGTGTGGGGTGACACAGCAGAGGAAGTTTTCGAGAAAGGGAAGAAAATAGTCCAAATCCTTCTGAAAGCCGGTTTTGCCATAAAACAGAATAAAGTCAAAGGACCTGCACGAGAGATCCAGTTTTTAGGAATAAAATGGCAAGATGGACGTCGTCAAATCCCAATGGATGTGATCAACAAAATAACAGCTATGTCTCCACCAACTAACAAAAAAGAAACACAGACTTTCCTAGGTGTTGTGGGGTTTTGGAGAATGCACATCCCAAATTACAGTCTGATTGTAAACCCGCTCTACCAAGTAACCCGTAAGAAGAATGAGTTTGAATGGGGCCCTGAACAACGACAAGCCTTTGAACAAATCAAGCAGGAAATAGTCCATGCAGTAGCCCTTGGGCCAGTTCGAACAGGACCAGATGTAAAGAATGTGCTCTACACTGCAGCCGGGGAGAACGGCCCCACCTGGAGCCTCTGGCAGAAAGAACCTGGGGAAACTCGAGGTCGGCCCCTGGGGTTTTGGAGTCGGGGATACAGAGGATCTGAGGCCCGCTATACTCCAACTGAAAAGGAGATATTGGCAGCATATGAAGGAGTTCGATCTGCTTCGGAGGTGGTCGGTACTGAAGCTCAGCTCCTCCTAGCACCCCGATTGCCGGTACTAGGCTGGATGTTCAAGGGAAGGGTCCCCTCTACGCATCATGCAACTGATGCTACATGGAGCAAGTGGGTTGCATTGATTACTCAGCGGGCTCGAATAGGAAACCCCAGTCGCCCAGGAATATTGGAAGTGATCATGGACTGGCCAGAAGGCAAATACTTTGGGATATCATCAGAGGAGGAGGTGGGTCGTGCTGAAGAAGCCCCACTGTACAACCAGTTACCAGAGAATGAAAAGAAATATGCCCTGTTCACTGATGGGTCCTGTCGTATTGTGGGGAAGCATTGGAGATGGAAGGCTGCTGTATGGAGTCCTACGCGACGAGTTGCAGAAGCTGCTGAGGGAGAAGGTGAATCGAGTCAGTTTGCAGAAGTGAAAGCCATTCAGCTGGCTTTAGACATTGCTGAACGAGAAAAATGGCCAGTTCTCTATCTCTACACCGATTCATGGATGGTAGCAAATGCCCTGTGGGGATGGTTACAGCAATGGAAGCAAAACAACTGGCAGCGTAGGGGCAAACCCATCTGGGCTGCTGCATTGTGGCAAGATATTGCTGCTCGGGTAGAGAACCTGGCTGTGAAAGTACGCCACGTAGATGCTCATGTGCCCAAAAATCGGGCTACTGAAGAACATCAAAACAACCAGCAGGTGGATCAGGCTGCTAAGATTGAAGTAGCTCAGGTGGACTTGGATTGGCAGCATAAAGGTGAATTATTTATAGCCCGATGGGCCCATGACACCTCAGGCCATCAAGGTAGAGACGCAACATACAGATGGGCTCGTGATCGAGGGGTGGACTTGACCATGGATGCTATAGCACAGGTTATTCATGACTGTGAAACATGTGCTGCAATCAAGCAAGCCAAACGGTCAAAGCCTCTTTGGTATGGAGGACGATGGCTGAAATATAAATATGGAGAGGCCTGGCAGATTGATTACATCACACTCCCTCAAACTCGCAATGGCAAGCGCCACGTACTTACAATGGTGGAAGCAACCACCGGATGGCTGGAAACATATCCTGTGCCTCATGCCACTGCCCGGAACACCATCCTGGGCCTTGAAAAGCAAGTCCTATGGCGACATGGCACCCCAGAAAGAATAGAATCAGACAATGGGACTCACTTCCGAAACAACCTTATAGACACTTGGGCCAAAGAACATGGTATTGAATGGGTGTATCACATCCCCTATCATGCACCAGCCTCCGGAAAAGTCGAACGATACAATGGCCTGTTAAAGACTACCTTGAAAGCAATGGGCGCTGGGACGTTCAAAAACTGGGATACGCATTTAGCAAAGGCCACTTGGTTAGTCAATACTAGGGGATCTACCAACCGAGCTGGACCTGCCCAATCAAACCTGTTACGTACTGTAGATGGGGATAAAGTTCCTGTAGTGCATGTAAAAAATATGCTGGGTAAAACAGTCTGGGCTACTCCTGCCTCAGGAAAAGGCAAACCTATTCATGGAATTGTTTTCGCTCAGGGACCTGGATACACTTGGTGGGTGATGCAAAAGAACGGAGAGGTCCGGTGTGTACCTCAAGGAGATTTAATACTGGGTGAGAATAGCCCATGAACTGAATTGTACCATGTTAAATAGTATATTATACTGTATGTTATCACTACCATGATTACTATAGGTGACTAATTAGAATGTATGGAAAAGAGTGTAACCTGAGCATGACATAAATGGTATGGAATAAGGGGTGGATAGATGTCCTGGTTTCAGTTAGCACAGAATTAATTTTCTTCCTAGTAGCTGGTGGAATGCTGTGTTTTGGCTTAGGATGAGAAGAGTGCTGATAACACCCCGATGCTTTAATTGTTGCAGAGCAGTGCTTATACTAAGCCAAGGACATCTCAGCCTTTTGCTCTGTCCTGCCAACGGGCAGGCTGGGGGTGCAGTAAGAGCTGGGAGGGGACAGACCCAGGACAGGTGACCCAAACTAGCCAAAGGGGTATTCCATACCATCTGACGTCATGCTAAACAATATATAGGGGTGGCTAGCCGGGGGGAGGGGGCCGGACTGCTCGGGGTTAGGCTGGGCATCGGTCAGCGAGTGGTGAGCAATTGCATTGTGCATCACTTGTTTGTACATACTATTATTACTTTCCTATTATCACCATTGTATTATTATTGTTATTATTTTTATTATTATTTTGTTATTATTATTTTCCTGTCTTATTAAACTGTCTTTATCTCAACTCACGGGCTTCACTTTCCATTTCTCTCCCCCGTCCCAGAGAGGGAGGGGGGAGGGTGAGCGAACGGCTGCGTGGTGTTTAGCTGCCGGCCGGGTTAAACCACGACAACAATGGAAAAAATAAACTGGATTTGCTGGGTATTAGACTTAAGTAGCTTGCTTTTTTTTTCTCTGCATCCTACTCTTTATCTGCTTATTCTTTAGATTTTATCTTTTTTCACTGTCATCTCCTGCTTCTAAAATACTAAGAAAGTACCAGACCTGTATTTAAGAATTGCATAAAACTGTGTTACAATTGAGTTGATTCATCTAATTTGCTGATGTAATCGTGTGAAAGCTAAAGTCCTGAGTAAAGGCAAATTCTATAGTCTCTCATCTTTTTTTTTTTTTTTTTTTTTTTTTTTTTTTTTAAAAAAAAGGTAAGCCAGTAGAGAATATATTGGAGTCATTGCAGTCTGGTGACAATATTAAAAGCAGCAGCTTGACTGCATGAGTGTATCCTTCCTTTAGTGAAAATTTGTGTTCAAAGACTCTAAGAAAAAAGGAATTATGAAAAATCAGAGGATAGTGGACTATAGTAAAATATAGCAGGGCAAGTTAGGGGCAGACAAAAGTGCTAAAGAAGATAAGGAAGCACTAATTTCTGCTCTCACCCATTCTGGTTTTAGAGCTTGCAATGAGTTTGTATGCTCCTCATTTCAGATCCAAGTTTTGAAAGTACTTGTGACCTTATCTGCAAACCCAGCCATGACAAGACATTTTCTCAGAGCTCAGGTAAGGTTCTTGTTATTTCACTTTTTTTTTTTTTTAAACATTTACATATGTATATGTGTGTAGATCTGTAAATGAATTAGAAGAATTTAAATATTACAAATACATATGCAATTCCAGAGCAAAATTTTAGCAAGTACCTTATTAAAATTAATAGTTAGATGTATACGGTCTTTTACAGCTTAGCCTCCTAGATTGCAGTGTATTACAGATTATATTAATTGCAGACTGTATTTCTTGCAAATGGAGAGTCACAGAATGTAGACGTTTTAAAGCATTTGGTCACATTTCATGTGCAACATTCCAAATCACAAAGTGGTTTGGGTTGGAAGGGACCTTAAAGATCACCCAGTTTCATCCCCTGCCATGGGCAGGGACACCTCCCACCAGCCCAGGTTGCCCAAAGCCCCATCCGGCCTGGCCTTGGACACCTCCACAGATGGGGCATCCACAGCTTCTCTGGGCAGCCTGGCCCAGCACCTCACCACCCTCAGAGTAGAGAATTTCTTCCTTACATCAAACCTAAATCTACCCTCTTTTAGTTTAAAGCCAAATAATTAGTGACAACTTAAATACTGTTCTTACTTTTCACCAACGGGATAGTACTGTGAACTTTTTAAAGTAATATACAAAGTATCCTGATGAGTTTCAAAAACAAGCTCAAAATATCCTTTCCAGACATGCAGTCAGTATATAGATTTATGATAGGGTACGAAGTTCAAATATAACCAGTACTGTAGATCATTGTTTTCAACAGCTGTTTCAATAGCTAACGGCCTGTACCAAATAAAATCAAATTCCACTGAAATCCCCACCTCCTTTCTCAAATGCATCCATAAATCTTTGTCTCTAAGCGCTATAAATAAGCTTTCTTTGTGCATTACTTATGTCTCCATGGAGAACTTTTATCTGATACTTGCTACTTGGCATACAGGTTTATTTCAGTTACATCTTTTCCTCACAACAAAACAAAGATCCATGACTGGAACACTTACACATCCTCCTTCTCCTCTCCAAATAAGTTCCTTAAAATGTGCAATAGCTAATTTAAAAAACAAACTTTTGTTTTTGAGATATCTGCTGCCAGAAGCAGAGCTAATCTAGATATTACCAGATTTTCATGACTAAGACAAATTTAGGGTAGCTTAATGTTCAGTTTTCTGTTAAAAGTGTATATTTTCCTGTTCTATCAGATACATTAACATACAAACATTCAGATCACCACAGAGGGCAAACCCAGCACTATTTAGAAGAAAAGCAGACCCTCTTACAGATGGGAATTTTCTAGACAACTGTATTTTGGAGATTGAAAGTACAAAGCATTGATCAGCCTGTGATCAATGTCACAAGCCAGTCTTTTCTAAAGAGGAAACATGCATGCTGTGCAGCGTATGGAGTTCTGGTTTACATAGCTTCCATTTAGGTGCAGGTCTTTTTTTCCCCAATGTTTTAAAGTTAATGTTAAGTACATGTAACTAAATCCCTGACTATTAAGTATGGATTCTTTATTTAATATCCTAGATGCCATCACTGCTGTTACTTTTTGACAACTGCATGAACAAAGATATTCTGCTTAGAGCCCTGGTGTTTGCAGCAAATTTGAAAAAGAATGTGAACAATGAAGGTGGCTCGATGATTCAGGACCAATACAGTGAAGATTCAGTTTTCTCTATACTCTGCAGGGATTCTACCCCATTTGCTCAGAAGCTGGCATCTTTATGGCATCACCCTGATCCAGAAGTGAAAGAGCAAGTTGTGAGAATATTAACACGATAGTAATTTTAAGAAGTGACTGACAAAAATATCTAATCTTAAGATTAGATGTAAAAGAGTACTGAATAGGCATAAATCAGTTATTACAAAAGAGATGGAAATATATTTAATAGAGAGAGCATACCAGATGTCTTATAAAAGATAAAGCAGAAAGTTATTGGCACTGAGAAGCCACTATCCAGGTGGTACATGTAAACAGAGGGAGGCACAGTTTAAAGCAGGAATGTTTTTATATACAGAGTGAATATTTAAATGGATGAATAAAGTCAATCTAAATATTCTCAATGTCATATTTTATGCCTTAGATATTTACAGCTATTGAATATCTTGAGAATGATACATCAAAGATTCAGGACTTCAGTTCAGGCATTTACATTTTACTACTCTGATATCTATTAAGAAGCTACAGGCAAATCTTAGAAAATCTTAAACAAAAACAGTGCCAAACTACCACTGACTTCCTGCAGAAATAGTATTTTCAATGAAAATTATAGATTAAAATTATCCAACGCTTTTTTTTTTACCTTAACTGCAGAGAATGCTAAGCATATAAAAATGTAGTATGAAAATATATCCATCCCATTTAGCTAAACTGCAGTGCAGTTAACTGCAACATGGAATGTTTCCATACTTGAACAAAATCATACGGATTTTTATCTCCCTTAAGCAATAACTCTAAAGGAAAGCATACATATTTTTCAAAATACTTTATTTTGAGCCAGATTATCTGCACCTCTGCTTTACTATCGTCATTAGAGAAGTGTCATGCACATTTTTACAAAAGCTTCCTGTTCAGGAGAAGCCCTCAAGCCTGCTTGGAGAGACTCAATGGGAGCTCATGGAGAGCTCTATTCCATTCATCAGCATCACTGGAACATCAGTGGAATAGGTGCTTCTGTTGAGTTAGCCACCATAAATTTTCAGTCACTTCTGCAGCATCAATTCAAAATGAAATGGAATACATCTAAACGTCGTAAAGGAAACTGAAGGAAGTTTCACTGATAAACACAGAACATGTAGTAAACACTTTACATTAAAACAAGACTACTGAAACTTCCAGAACACCAAACCATGGAGAAAATAGTGTCAGATGTATAGGCTGGAAAACTTAAAAGAACTGTGTTACCTACATCATTACCAGATGCTTCATCTTTTTAAGTTAATACATACACTCCACTGTTAATAATATTTTTTTCTGTATATTCAGTAGATACTTTATTTTCTGTAGACACCTGTCTTCAAATAGAATGGCAAGAAAAATATGCCAAGATCAATAAACAGGTAAAGCTATATATATATATATATATATATATATATATATATTCAAAGTAGATTTTATTTATATATATATATATATATATATATATATATATATAAATAAAATCTACTTTGTTTATATGTAGTTTTTAACTCAACAGGAATAACAGAAGTGGAAGTTGGCATGATTCCCACTCCAGAACTCTGACAATCACTGCATTTAGAGTGAACTTCCCTTTTTCCTTCCCACTGGTCTAAAAAAACACTGTTCATTTTGCAATATGCAAATTACAGTACAATCACATAATGTTTTGCCATATTTTGAAGATTTTTTTCCTGCTTCTGTATTTAACAGAGTAGTAGGTCAGACACTGCGAATTTTATCTCACTTTTTTCTTCTGAGACAAGAAGAAATTAGTCTGTTCCAGGTGTATCTGATTTTATATACATATGTTTTCTTAGCCTCACCAATGGAGATGTCTAGATGTCCCTCTCCATGTTCTTCAACCTAAAAATAAGTTTTTCATGTATCATCTTTTTGATAAAGTTGTTTGTCCACTACCAAAGGAAAAGAATTCAAATGGCCATTGTCCTCCCTATTTAAAATACATAAAAACTTTCTGTAGCATTGCCTCAATCTTTTTTTTCCTGGCCTAGGAAGAGCTATTTTTAAACCTTTTCTTCACAGAACAATACTACTGAGATGTTTTGAAACAATGCAAGACTCTCCAATGTGTCTTCATAAAACTGTCTTAATTTTTCATCCCCTGCTCCATACCCCATATGGAATCTTACCAGCACCAAACAAAACATAGCAGTCACTGTTCTGCATACAAGTGCTGTGAACGAATGCATCTAAAACAAAACATATTCCATTACTGACATACAAGGCTCTGGTCCTTATAATTCAGTACTCCACGTTTCTGCGTAGCTATAACAGGTACTGCCTGTTTTAGTTTCATTTTCTCTTTCTAAAATGCAGAATTTTACAAAATACAGGCTATCGATTTTGAAAACTGAAAGAACAATTTGAGTTTTAACCATGTCCTACAAAATACTCATAACATCCTGCAGCTTTGTCTCCTCCACAATATTATGTGTAATATACATCACATTATCCTACCCATTACTGAAGCTGTTGTTTAAATGTAAGGCCCAACACAGATGCCATCTGAAATGTCCTCCCCTTAATCAACACTGAACTAACAGCAGTAGTTTTAAAATGGTTTTGAATCATCTAGATATTCTGGTGATAACATTCCTAGAAGAAATACCTTTTCAAATAAAGAAATACTGATTTTCGTTAGACATGAATTACACTAAAGGAATATGAGCTACTTTTTCTCACAAATATTTTAATCATCTGTTACAGAACCCTTCCCCATAATGAACTTGAACTAATTGATCTTTGTCTCCTTTTTCTTTCTTTGTTGGTATTTTATTTACTTATTTATTTATTAAGACTTATAGGACTTCCCAGCACAGGTTTTAAAAAGGCTAACTGTTAACAATTAAAGATCATTTCAGTTTGCTCCTAGCAGAAAGTCTCATTGACTGGTTTTAATTTACCAGTTTTAATTTTAAAAACTGATCTTCATGGACTGGGAATGCAAAATGTAATGCACGAGAGCAAAAAAAAAAAAAAAAAGACCCATATATTCCATAGATGAGAAAAATCATGAACAATTGATTTATTTTCCAATGAATTATGAAGGCGAATAACAACCTTTTTATTTTTTGGCAACAATATGCTTTAATCCTGTAAATGAGCATGGCAATTTGATACAGATACATTTAGCCAAGTATTACAATAGTAAGTAATTTTGTAGTCTCTCATTCAACTTTAAAATTATAGGGAAGCTATAAGGAAAAATTACCGCAGCCCTTGCTTCAGACTTCTCACTTAAAAAAAAGTACTTAATAATAGGCTGAGTCAATGCAAAGACAAGCGCCATAAAGTGACTCTTTCATCTCATATACTGCGTTTGACAAAAAAGTTATTTTAGACGCATTCAGGCCTAACTTAAAGACACTGACAAAACAGTATTAGGGTGCAGATATTCTGGCCACCAGTAAGTATCTACACATTAATGTTGCATTATTAAGTGCTCTCTCGCTCTTTCTCTTAAAGGCACAGTTCTTTAAATCATTTTAAAATTCAGCTTTTGTGGTTCCTCAGTAAATGAAAGTGTAGAAACACTCAGTAAAATAATTATTTTACTGTGCTTGTGCTTTACCAACACAGCTGTACTGGGAGACTCCCCACATAACACAGAGTGAAGCTATCAAGAAACAGGGCGTAATTTTAAAATTAATGACTAACAAGTGGGAGATTACATTTTGACAATGAATAATTCAAGTCAGCCATTAATTATAAGACTACGTCCTGCTCTGAGGCTATTATTGCTGTTACAGGTAAGATGAAGAGTTGAAAAAAAAACAAAAAAACTGTACAGTGTACATCAGTGATGTATGTGAGCCTAAAATTCCAAGTTATACCCAGACAATACCTTGTATATTAACCAGAACACCACTCAACATTTGTAAACAATTTAACTAGTAAAATCAATTTAACAACAAAAAAAAGTGTAATTGTAAAATGAACTTTATATGCAAGCTTTACTTAAGAAGCTGACAAACCTGAAACCTAGAACTCAAATTCACTCAATCTGCTTTGTAAGTACATCAAATTAACATTTGTGATATTAATTTCTAGTTCAAATCAAACAAGGCTTACGAGGAACTGTTACTGGTTCATTACTCAGACCCATCGTTTGTGCTCAAGTCCCGTGATTCTCCATGGCTTAAGACAAAGAAGTCTTCTTTTTTCAAGCCATATCTTTCAAGAGCTTCATTCAGTTTAACTGGAGGATCCAAATAATACTGGAAAAGAGCAATATGAGGAAAAAAAAAAAAAAGAAAACAATTGAGGCATATGGTAGAAAAAAAGAAAAAGAAGTATCACCACTCTAGAACACTGGCTTACATTTTAAATACTACCCCCAAAAAATCGGGGAACATATTTGTCAAATTGAACAAAAATTTTTGGTGTAATTTTTAGTTTTTAAACAGTAAGAATGCTGATCTACATTCTTCAAGTAAGTAGTAAGACGCAACTTATCCAAAATTCAGTCTTCAATGTAATTACAGAATCACAGAATTTCTAGGTTGGAAGAGACCTCAAGATCATCGAGTCCAACCTCTGACCTAACACTAACAGTCCCCAGTAAACCATATCCGTAAGCTCTTATTAGATTAAATTAGATTTCTTAAAAGCAGAAACATGGTCATTAGTTATTCTTAGCACAGAGGAGGAAGTAGTAACAGGCAGTAGATGGCGCTTTCTTGCGTTAGTAAAACAAACTTGTCAGTTTTAGCGTGCCATTTCAATATTGTTCCTCTTAAGTTACTTCATTGTGTTTGTTATATTTCAAAAAAGGCATCATAAGGGAGAATCATCCTTTTTTTTTTTTTTTTTCCTAAATAGCTAATTTGTATCTCAAGTGCTAGTGACACAGCTTGTTACAAGTATCATGGATAGAAAACATTATAACTACAAACATTTTGCCTCAGGTGAACATACTTAGTTTCAGAACAAAGTTACCATGTTGCCTGGTGCAAATGTTGCAAAGAAAGTTGAAAAAGAGCTACCAGACAAGGTGTAAAGTATATGTAGATGCTTCCCTTTCACCATATTTTTATTTTGTCACTGTTAAGGTAACTGCTTATTAGAAATGGGGAGATAGGGCAGGGGAAAATCAGCAACAATTCAGGATAACCTATTTTTTCCATATTTTTGCCAGTAAAAGAAGCTATTATTTAACTATGAATGAAAAATAGCACTCAATTTCTTTACTAGACAGACATAATTAATAAATACTGTATTGAACTAAGGGCACTCAGTGCTTATGTGATGCACTGCTGAGTTTGCTTCTATTATTGCACAGATATCCCTACCTACAACATTCATTATTCACACTACAGGATATGTTCTAGTTATTTAAACCTCCATACAATCATCCTATTTTTTCAGAAATTTGCCCTTTTTTTTTTTTCTGCCTTCATGTTCTAAAATTACTGGTAATGGTATCACATCTACTTAATTTTCCATATGGAATGCTTAGACCCAAAAGGTTGTAGGAATCTATACTGAATTAATTTCTTTTTCGTTTTCAGATGAAAGGATAGAGGAGCTGTTGTAAGAATCAATCTATTGATTGATCAAAACCTTAAGGTTCAGATTTTAGGGCACACGTGAAGTTATTGAAATGTTTGACTAAAGTGTAATTTTCTTGGCTACTTCAGTCTTTCTCTGCACCGTATGTTTTGCATTTTAGTATTTACTTGCTAACCTTATACCATATACAAAGCAGGAAGGTGGGCAAATAAAAAAAGTGTGCAATTGTACTTTACTGGAGATCTATTACCTATATTTACTTTCTCTAAATCAGCAGGACTACAGTTGTAACTATTTCTGTGCATCTGGTTCCTTCATCAACAAAGAAGGGACGTTAAATGTGCTGCTAGCAGCATTCCCAATGTGTTCCTCTGTCTCATGGACTTTTCCATCAGAAAGAAATTCAACCTTAAAAAATATTTTTTGGTAAAGTTACAAAATGCTAATGAATCTCCAGATGTTTCAATAACTCTGTTCTTTAAAATTAATCTTAACCATGGAAACATGATATTCAGTTATGAAAATGTTGGAGTTGTTTTAACTTTAGTACCTATAGGAACAACTTTTCACTTCTATAATGTCACATTTTAGGTATATACTACATATCTGTAAATGTAAACTGCATGAACAAAGTTTCATTAATGATCACGTAATCAAGAAATCTGAAATCATATACAGTGCTCAAATGTACCTCATTTGCTAAAGCAAAGGTTCCCCAGTGAATTGCTACAGACTTCTTTGCTTGAACA